GAATCACGGCCAGACGTAGAGGAAATGCACTGTAGTAATGGAAATCGACTGTAAATGTATGAAATTATGATGGTGCTTGTAGTAGTATTACCACTTTTTTGGGGTGAAGGACAATAGTGCAACAATGCAAGTGCAGGGTCTTGTAGAAATGTCCTTGGCGGGTGTTTTAAACCCTTGATTGGTGATGCAAAGGTTGTTGGTTCGAGCCGGCCCAGCGTTCCTCAGGGGTAGAAGTGTTAAATTTATACTAGGGCAAATACAATGTTCAACAGTAGATGGCGACCATCCTCCCAAACTGCAGGTCAGCTCATGTTTCGATACGATACTTGGGAAGATAACAAGACAAGGTTTCTTTCTTCTTCCATAGAATAATAAATTTTTGTTTGAGATCTATGTAGGCACCATCATAATCTTTTGCTTGTATTTTATTGGCTCAGAAACTATAATTTCTATCGGACTTTCCAGTTCTCAACCAAATGCCTTTGCCAAATATTCCCATGGCCGGTGCTGCCCTCTATGGCCAAATACCGTAGATGTGGTAGCGAAAATTGTATTTAGTTAGGAGTCCATGAACAGTGTAACTTAAACCATTCTGGTTTTATGTATATGTAGCTGTGGTTTACACATTCTGTCATCTATCAGATTTATTTTACTAAAATATTCAGTCCGCATGTGAATTATTCCATAGGGGATGGCACCTGAATTTTTTTTTTTTTTTATACTTTGTTTTGTTTTGTGCCAGATGAGGGGGGAGGGTAGGCAAAAAATATAATGTTTGTGTCATTAATATCTTGAGAGAAAAAGAGCCTGCATGACATTTCCAACACTACAGAATTTGTTGAAGTACGTCCACCTATTTTAAGCCACTACACAAAATCCATCATTTGTTATACACTGACCTTTTATCTCCAAGATTACAATACATTAGACCATGGTAATACCACCAAAAATACATGCATTTGCTAAGGGCTATCTTCATTTTAATCCATTACAAAAATATGACAGAAGGGGAGAGTTACATTAACACGTCAAAACATGTATATGAAAGTCATGAGTCGCTGCTCTACCTATAAAAGCTGCTCTTCTTTTCTACCTTGCATGCTCATTACATACAGTTTCAATAAAGTTTGAACAATTCTTTGAATACAGGATCGATAATGTAAATTTTAATGTAAATGCATGGAAAAGCAAATCACTTGAAAATAGTGAAAAATCACTGTAATTACTGTCCAAAAATAAAATACACACACAATCAAGAACGGCACACACAGAGCTGCTGCAAGAAATAGACCGGAAGAAGCGACTTGGCCACCAAAAATATCCCCAGAGTGCATATGAAATGGGGCTTGGTGACAGCAAAACTTTGAGGTGCTGTATGCGGACAGGAAATAGAGGGGGCTAGTTTTGTTATGAAACAAAGTGGTTGAAATGCAATTAACTGGTTGTCGATTTTCTCTCAAAGGAAGAGAGATTTTGAGAAAAAAGTGCGGAAGTGGGTACAAAAAAAAAACGGGGGGGGGGGGGGTGTTTCACAAAGATCCTAAGTCGAACTTAACTCTAAGTTGGACTTAAAAATTATGGAGAGCTATCTGTAGCCTTACAATAAAATATATTCAAAAGTGAAAATTCAGGTATTTTAGACTTTTCCGTTGGTGTTTAATAGTGAGATGGATGGAAAAGAAAAGGGAAAGGAAAGAGGCAAGATATATCCACTATTCAGCCTCAAATACAATGAATTGATTGCTTATTTTCTCTGGGAGGTTGAATACAGCAGGGAAATCCGATGTCATTAGCTGTGCTTCTCACCACCAGACAGCTCTTTACTAATATGATATCATCTTTCACCGTCGGTCGATGCTCGCCACTTATGCAAGTCGTTATTTGAACAGTGACGTAAAAACGTCGACCAGAAAAAACATATCCTACCGATACTGGAATTGAAGTTTAATGTTCTGATGAAGATAGACATATAAGTTGCGCTTTGAAGCTGTTTAAATACCACAAATGCTTTGCGCCATGAATAAAGTAAATACAATAATGCTTGTAACATCATAAGGGCAAATCTTTTATAAGCATTAATTTAAGGCACAACATGGAGCAAAATGGAAAGAAGTGGTGAAAAGAAAAAAAATGGTAAGTTGTTTTCTAGTGAGAGATTAAATGAAGGGTAGAGGAAAATGCCAAGAAAACTACCATATCAGGCTGAAATACATACTTCAAGTATAGGTTGGAAGTTTGCCATGATTTTGCACAAGAATATGTACTTGTTGCCCAAATCTCCAAGTTATGCCATTTTTGAATTGGCAATTAACATTCATTTCATGATGTTATTAATTTCTTCATCATTATATAATAGAGATTGACTATTATCTTTGCATTTTCTAATTCTGAAGAAACACAAGGTTTGAAGAACAATTACTGTAAATCCAGAAACTATTGCTGAATTCCTGCTTCCCCTCCCGAACCCCTTTACAAAAAAAATGACATGAATTATTGACTGTCACTTGAAACTTCCACATCGTCAGCTAAGCCACTTTTTCTTGATGCTTCATCAATTTCTCACATTATACCTTTGTGCACCTGTGTTAGTCGTAGGAGAGGGAAATTCCCAATTCATGCCATTTTTCAATTGGCAATTAACTCTCATTTCATGTTATTGATTTCCTCATCGATATTTTGGATTAGTAAAACAAAAATGTTTAACACTAGAGATTGACTATTTCCTTTGCATTTTTCTAATTCTGAAGAAACATAAGATTTGATGAAAAATTAATGTAAATCCAGAAACTATCGTTGAGTTCCTGCCCTCCCCCCCCCCCCCCAGCCCATGAACAAAAAAATTGAAAAGAATTATTGACCATCACTTGCAACTTCCACATCCTCAGAGCTAAGCCACTTTTTCTTGACGCTTCATCAATTTCTCAATTTCTCACGTTATAACTTTGTGCACCTGTGTTTGTTGAAGAGGGAGGGGATGTTTTAAGCAAACTTACTTGAAATATATCCAAATAGCTTTCTTGATTTTTGCAATGTAACATTAATTCATTACATTATCCTAGCCGAAACGGGAAACTAACATATCCACATCCTCAAAGATTTTCTTTAGCATTCCTTCCACAGATCTGCTAATGCATTGATCTGCTAATCGATTTTTAGAATGTTCCCTTCTTTGGAATGACTTTAATTGAGAAATGAGCAGCACTTCCCCGGTTTCTTTTCCCAAACGCTTGTGTCTGCACACTCATTGATTTCTACATGGCCTATGGACGTTGTGAAGTATCGACAAATGCACTCAGGGTTTGTCATTTCAAACATTTACCCCATGCAGGCATGTTTGCTAGATCCATGGAGAATTGGATTTATTGAAACTGAAGCTTCTTAAGATACACAGCTTAGATCCAGGTTTTTTTCGTCAGGATCTGTGTGCTCATTCTGTCTTGAACCTTGCAGATTGCCTTTTAGTTGTTATGCTACCGTCTATCTTTATTTGTTCAAAAGTCATTTATGTTATATTTGCCTTTTGTCATTTCTTCCTTTTTGTTGTTTTTATAATTTTTCATTGTCTATCACCTTCCTTCCTTGCTTCCTTCCTCACTTCCCATTTCCCTCTCTCTCCTTGCTGGTTTCATCCTTGTTCCCGTCCTGACATGTCCTTACCTTCCTCCCCTCCTTATTCATTCCTTATTTTCTCTCTCTCTCTCTCTCTCTCTCCCCTCTCTCTCTCTCTATCTCTCCCTCTCTCCCTCTCTCTATCTATCTCTCTCCTCTCTCTCTCTATCTCTCTCTTCTCTTTCACCTCTCTCCTTCTTCTTTTTCTTCTTCTTCTTCTTCTTCTTCTTCTTCTTCTTCTTCTTCTTCTTCTTCTTCTTCTTCTTCTTCCTCTTCCTCTTCCTCTTCCTCTTCCTCTTCCTCTTCTTTCTCTTCCTCTTCCTCTTCCTCTTCCTCTTCCTCTTCCTCTTCTTCTTCTTCCTCTTCTTCCCATTCTCTTCTTTCCTCTTCTTCCCATGCTCTTCTTCCCTTTCCTACTCATTCTCTTCTTCCCTTTCCTACTCATTCTCTTCTTCCCTTTCCTTCCCTTTCCTTCACATTCTCGTCTTTCTTTTCCTTCTCACCCTTCCACCCTCCCTTGTCTATCCCTCTTTTCCTCTGTGAGATACTACCCAAAACTTCCCGTTTATTACATTTCGAAGAGGGAGGGTAGGATAACTGGTGACACGACATTTGCTCCTGCGACAATTGCTCCGGGCTTTATTTCGTCTAAGATGTAGGGTTAGGGTTAGGGTTTTAATAGGGTTTTATGTTAGGTTTAGGGTTAGGTTTAGGGTAGGGTATAGTGTTGAATCCAGGGTTGAAGTTAGCCATTCGATTAGTGTATGAAATTTACAGCGGAGCAATTGTCGCCGGAGCAAATGTCATGGAATCAGGATAACTCCCTTCAATGACATTTGTTGTGTTCATCCTTGTCTCTTCCTGAAATGCACCATAGTGCTACAATTGCTGGAGCTAAAGCTGGGGTACTATTATCCAGAGTTCTCTGGAAGCGTATAGAGACGTTGTATCAGAATGTTATATATGCTATAGGAAAACAGATTTTTATTATTATTGTTATTATCATTATCAATTTATCATTTTTGTTATTAATAAGGTCCACGGTTTGAGACCTGCCACGGCACTAATGTCCTTCGGCAAAACATTGATCTACATTTGCCACACTCATCCTAGGTGATGTTAATGGGTACCTTTGAAATGCTAGAGCACCGTAATGGCAGCACAGCTAAAGCCGGGGTAATAATCTCCAAGTTTGGAAGCGCTTAGTGAATGTAATAAGTGCTATATAAAAACTGAGTATTATTATTATTATTATTATCAGTATCATTATCAATTTATCATATTATTATTATCATTATCAATTTATCATATTGTTATTATTATCATTATCAATTTATCATATTGTCATCATCATCAATTTATAATTATTTATCCCCTCTTCACCTTTGCAGGAGGATGGTCCGATACCAATGATCAGTCTCTATCAGGATACCACCCAGACACTTCCAATTTACTACCCCCTCGTAGAAGAAGGCTTAGCCGACACCCCTGCAAACTCTGAAGAGCAGCTTGTCACCGCGGCCTTCAAGGAGGTAGGGCGCATCCTGTCCGCGGGGGAGAGGACAGGGGCAGAGGAGACCAAGGCTGAAGGGGTCGGATCGGAGGAGGTCGGCGGCAAGTGTGAGGTTCTGTCCGAGGAACCCAAGATGGTTCCCTCAGGGATGGAAGAATGATGGTGCGTTCACATCCTCTTCCCCCCCCCCCCCATGTGCAGGTGTGTGTGTGTGTGCCTGCATAGATGTATGTTTTCATTATTCAAGCCCTGATACCCACAGTATTATGCTTTTCCAAAATGATAATTAAAAGCTATGTTTATAAAATGTTTTTTTAGATTTGATTTGCTTGCAATTTTATACCATTAGGAGTGCAGGTTGGATGTTTGCAAATGGTTTAATTCTTGGCATTGCTATCAGTCTTGTGGTATAGCTTGTATGACACCCCCCCCCCCCCCCCCCCCCAAAAAAAAAAAAAAAAAAATAATAATAATAATAATAATAATAATGATAATAATTATTTAAAAAATAATAGTAAAAACAGCAACTACAACAACAAATGAGTTAAATAATAATAATCATCATTTTGATTACCGTAGTAGTTTTTTTTTTTTTTGGGGGGGGGATGTTCGCTCATGTTGCTTTTTACTGTCCTAAACAAGAAGAATAAAGGGAATGAAATAGTATTAATCAGCAGTAAGGAAGAGAGAGACAGACAGACAGACAGACTGTTGACGGACAGAGAGACAGAGAGATAGAAGGAAGGCTATAGAATCATATACGTGTAAACAGAAATGATAGATATAAGAGACAGAAAAAAAGATAGAAAGACCGGGAACACAGGACACAAGAGAGAAGGCAAGAAAGAAAAAAATAGACGGACAGAGCATGAGAAAGCTTGAAGGAAGAGAGGTGGGATGAGAGGTTGAGAAGGAGGGGGAGAGGATATGTGTCCAGCTGTGTGCACTCCTAAATTGCTTGAGATGTGACAGAAACTCCATGCCTTCAACAATAATGCAAAACTAATTTATCAAAATCTGTGTTTTCATAAATAACATTTCTTAGAATGTCACTTTCCCTGAGGAAAATAACCTGGTTTTTAATAATTTTGTGATAGAGTCTAGCCTATATGTATCTGTAACCCAGGAATATCCGGCTTTATGAGACGAGGCCTAGAGCATGCTACATTATTTTTTATAAATAAAAGTGTTATTTTCATCCTTTTTCATTTGGAAATTACCTTGTTTTTAAATTGATTTGAGGGGAATGATAACTTCATGACTCTGATACGACCCTAGATAGACATTTACAAGTACATATTTATTTAAATTTTAAAGATTAGTGCCAATAGCTGATAGGAATTCTGTTACAATGGCTTTTAATAGCTTTCTCTTCGACATTATTCCTTGATTCCATTGTTCAGTGTATTCACCTGTCTCACTAGAGGCAGTCCTTTCTCAACCCCTTTATGAAGAGGAAGCAACTTAAGCCTTGTTCGATTTTGAAGTGGTAGACCTCTGCATTTTTTTTATGACGACGTAAGGGTGTTATGTTTCACGTTTCTGTATGTTGTAACAATAGGCCTGTCTTCACTATTTCGAGATTGCCAAATATCTAGCTATTTGAACTATCCCGATCGCAAACTATCCAGCTAATTTGCGTCTTCATCAGACCGAAGTAGCAATTAGAAGGATATTTGGTCAGGATTGTCATCCCAAGATATTTTGGGATAGTTTGCAAAATATCCTACTATTTGGCAAAATATCCAGCTATTTGTCCCGTGCGTCTTCACTAGACCAAAGATTCGCAATACGCGCTAACGCTGAGCAAAATATCTCGAGTTAATTTCCCAAGGTCGAGTTTCAAGTTTTGAGGTCGAATCTCGAGATAGTGAAGACGCGATTTGTTACTTCGGGATTATTTCCGAAATCAGAAATACATGTAGCGGGCTATTTGGCAATCTCGAGATGATGAAGACGCGCCTAAAGAGCTCAGTGAATACACCTGGGACTTTGTTGCACCCAACTCCCATCCATTGTTTTAAACAAAAACGCCGGGGGTTAGCACTTTATATCTGAACAGGCCGTAATGAAATGAATTATTCAAGGAACTTTGGGGTGTGTTAAAATCTGATTCTAGTTGCGAACTTGAAATGGCAGACCTTTAGGGTAGAGGTCAAATAAACCAATCAAGATCTGTCATGAAGAGTGAAGAATAATTCCTTGATTATTCCCCTTCTCTATCACCCCACCCCCCCCCCCCTCTACTCACAGGCATCATCAGGGTAATTAACAAATGACTGGAAATGTCTTCCGTTACTGCAAGGGAAGCAGTTCCACTGGCCAATTTGTTAGGATTCGTTTGATCCTATTTTAGTTTTATTGACAGGACAAGAATAATTCACAATTTTAAGAATTCAACCTAGAACTGTTTTTCTTCTTCTAATCTTCACGTTATCCTTATTAATTGTTGATAACCTAAAAAATTGGAACACTCTATGCCTTTGTCATTTTATTTTCCTTCGGCATTTTGGTAATTTTGTACATGTACACTCTGGGGGAATATGCTTTAAAAAAACACCTGCAGATCTTATTTTGATAGTGATATTTCATTAGGTATTTGAAATGAAGTTGTGTCAATTCTGTCATTGTCGTATATTTGTATGGCAGTTTGACCTGACCCAGAAATGACAACATACTTTGTATTAAAGCACCTAGAGCATTCCTGCAACATTAATTATATTGTTGTTTAAAAATAAGTGGAACTAGAACATGTCACGTACTGTAGAGATGGTTATCATACCTTACTAAGAATATTGATCTGCGTATTTTCCAGGGAATTTTGTCTGATGTTGTTTTGTTTTTAAATAGATCTTGGCATAACAAAAATAAATCAGGTAAGGCCAGAGAAACTCATTGGTTCTCTCAAGATATAAATCACCAATTCACCCGGAAGAAAGAGACATAATATCGTTGTTTGTCTGAAAGGAGGGCGTTGGCACGCGCACAGGCCCTCAAGCAAATTTCTGGTAACTCGCTTCTCTGATTTTGATTGGTCTATACATGTTAAATACAATTTTTTAAAGATGACAGGGATTTCTTTCTTTTTGGACTAATAACAAAATTAATATGATTGATATATCCCTGACTCAAGTAGTTTTGTATCAGATAAGGACATATTTTTATGAAGTTACAGGCATTTCAGTGTAACAACCTACATTTACTGATTTTAGCACAATGGTGCGTACACGCTTGTGCCAGCCGGCCACAGACAAATATCATTTCATCTAATCCGGGATTTCCCGCAGAAATGGATCATGCCCTTGCGCTACAGGTCTCGCACCTGAGATGCAGGGGCGAAGATAATGGGAGGTAGAGGGTATCACCCGGTGTGATGATCTGCTAATGAGGATATTACTTAGGCTGATTGATGTCATGGGGTCTGTTCGGCGTGGCCAAGGCATCGGGGGAGGAACTCCCTCGACTCCTCAGACGAAAGAGGAAGTATAGGAGATGAGGTTGCCGTGGCGATGAGCACTTCTCGTCCCCCTCGGCTGCGTGACCTTAAATGTTGAACTTCCATGGGGGTTTTGTTTGACTGGTGTAATATCAGATGAATCCCAAGGTCTTATATTGCTTTTCTTTGTCTCCTCTTGCTCTAATGTGCTGCAGCTTAACTTTTGTATCAAAATCTTAACTTCAAACTCCTCTGAGAATCGTTGAACTCCTGACAGGTCTTCTTCTTAGAGAGGAAGGCCATCCTGTTATAAAATACAGAAACAGAAATGTGACAGAAACAAAAATGTGGTGAAATCATGGACGGATCAAGAAGTTTTTGTTAGGAAATCCATGAAAGAATCAAGAAAGTTTGAGTTTTTAAAACTGTAATTGATCAAACAAATGTAGAGTCTACTCTGATTTCTCCTGCAAACACCTCTTCATGCAGTTGATTGATAAATGATAACTATCTGAATATTTTTTTCTCAACTGTTAATAAAAAGGAAAAAATCAATTTCTTAGTGGTAATGTTAAAGGCATTTGCCCATTACCATTACCAAGGTATGTTATACAAATACAAATATTGACTGCTTTTAGGGGCACGGTTAAAACTATTGCCCAAGGTGATCTTGAAACTGTACTGTCCCCTGAGACAAAGTTGAGAGGCAAAGTGCTGTCTCGAGATCACCAAGGGGCTTTAGTTTTAACCGTAACCTGAAAAATATGCAGTCAATATTTTTTTAATATCCCGCATCCCAAGTGTCAATTCTTAAAAAGATATCCAATCTCGACTAAAAATATTTTTAGCTTTTTCAAACACACCCAGTGTTGACTACCACAGTCAGAGTATTCCAAGAGGTTTTATCCAACATGTTATGTGGCCAGGGGGGGTGTTTCACAAAGACTAAGATTGACTTTAAGTTGGACTTAACTATGGTAGGCCACTGTTTACTCTAATATCATGATCTTACGATATTATTTTTTCCTTCAATAATGAACCATCAACAAATAAACATTCTGTCGATAAATTGTGACCACTATTTATACGTCCCTTCAGAGACCAATGCCAGTAAATGGTAAGAGCAAACAGTGGCATTAAGGGCCTGCCATAGTTAAGTCCAACTAAAAGTCGATCTTAGTCTTTGTGAAACACTCCCCTGAACAATCTTGAGCTTCCTCCTTGAAAGTGAATGCTTTATAAAAACAACATTTTACAATAATCCAGGAAGAATGTAACAAAAGCATCTCCATGCCCTCAAACTTTGTTAGCTCAACCATGCTAGGAAAACCTTTTTATTGCAGCTATTCAATTGACCTGAGGCAAACCAAAACACAGAAGATTCTGTCAAAATTTACTGTTTGGTTGATTTCATACTTCCTTGGAATTATAGTTGTGTAACATAAACTATGTATACGGTAGGCTTGCGGGTGCACCATGTAGTTATAGAAACATATGATCTCTTGGAGTTGCTATTTCTAACTCGTGAGGATTACCTTATCAGATAAAAAAAAGGGAGAGTGTGAATGTACATGTAACATTACCTCCTACGACTGTGTGAGGCTCTCCCACGTGACTTCGCAATTGTTTACAAAAAACAATGTTTTGGGCCTCGGGGGAGGAAATTAAGAAGCAAGAAGGTGTATTTAAAGAAAACTCTCTTTCTATGTGAACTTTCAGCATCATTCATCTACTTATCTAAGCCTATGAAAAGAGCAATAGTTCCCTATAGAAGCATTCAAATTATGGATTTTATTTCACATCTTAGTCCGTGAGAAAAATCAAAAATGAGGTACTTGCTGTATTATATAACTATCATAGCAACCTTCTTCGGGGTTATGGGGGAAATAGAGACAGATGATAGAGAGAGACAGACAGACAAGGAAGGAGAGATTGAGACGGACATGCATATGGGCAGAGAGAGAGAGAGAGACAGACAGAGACAGATAGAGGGCGAGAGAGAGAGAGAGAGAGGGAGGGGGGGGTGTTGAGCAGGATCACATGACACATGTTACAATAACAATTGCTCTGCTGTCGATTCCTCACACTAACCCATGTCTTAATTTCAACATTGGACGAAACACTTTACCCTAATATATCCCAAACCTATGATATTGCATTTAACATTAGTGTTTTTGATATATATGCTTGTAAGGGATAATATTCCCAATCAACAAATAAATCTCAACACTTTGCCTACAGACATTCAACATGAGGTATAAAACTAGGTGGTCTGTGTATTAAGCTTGTGGGAACGAGTTATTCTAGTAGTCAACTGATTAACTTTTTCTTCTTGGTTTCTATCTTTGCAGGTATAAACTGAACTTTTTTGGAGGAAAGGGAGAATCCATTCTTTGCCTAGATACAACTCATCAGGATTCAGGATTTCTTGCGGTAGATGCATTCTACAGGACTATCATATTTGCCGAGAGACCAGAAAGGCTGAAACTCTATGTTATATGATTTAATTCCATTCTGACACCTAGCATGCAGTATATGGTGTATTTGTTGAGAATAAAAGTGATGTCCAAATTTTTCTTGTTCATATGCAGCTAATTGTAAATTACATGTATTTCTATTATATGTCTTTATCTTTTTCCTGTCTCTTCCCAATTGTCTTTCTTCTCTCTCTCTCTCTCTCTCTCTCTCTCTCTGTTTCTTTCTCTCTCTCTCTCCCTCTCTTTATTTATCTTTCTGACTTTTCTTTCACTGTGCTTTTCTCTTTGCCTTTTGTTTTCTTCCCATGTAGTCTGTCTTTCTATTTTTTTTATTTTCAAAAATCTTTTTGTCTACCATTACATCAATCTCTGTTCCTTTAGTTTTTCTCTCCCAGCTTTGTTACCACTGTACTTATCGGTTTTGGTTTGTTTGGTTGGTTATTTTGAGACGGTCATCATAAACATTGACAGTCTGTAAACATACTTGTTTCGTGCCATTGGTGACATCATGATTGTGTTATTCACTCTAAGAGTAAGGTCTACAAGTTATGTGTGTTTTGACGTCAGCATGGTATACAAAAGAACTTCATATTCACATGATTTCATGAATGGCTTGGTTGAATATCTTGTTCATAATAAAGTTACTTTCAAACAAGAATAGTTTGTAATGCTGATGTGAATGTAAGATCACCTTATTTTTCATGTTAACAAACAAGGTTGCCAATTCCACAAGATCACCTCCGAACAGAATTGCCTTTTTGCATCATCCATTCCTTCCAAGTCCAAGCTATTAAAGTTCATACAATAACAACTACATCAGGGGTGCTATAAAATGGGCTGCAATCTTGTAGTTTGATACCACCACGACATGGCACAACATAATTATTTCAGATCCAATAGTATGGTAATATGACACAATCATCTCGCATGAGTAAATGAGAATATAAAAACATGTAAAAACTTCTGTAATTCAAGTTTAAGCACTGATGTCTCTCTTGTTAGTATATTATCATACCTGATGTTGATATCATTGAAAAACCTGTTCATCCCCATTTACAATGATGCCCCATTTTAATGATTATGTAATCTTGGAATATCAATGTTTCAAAATGCATTGTTATTGTCAATAGTAAATCTCCATTTGTTTGTAGGATGTAGTGTGTCTCTGAAGGAATAACGATGCCTTTTTTTTCAATGAGTATTATATGTTTTGCTGCTTCACTCTCGAGGTTTATGAGACAAGTAGGGATGTCTTTATCTCTGCTGAGAGCCAGATTGTCAGTTCCTTTACTTCTGTACAGACGCAATACCCATTTGACTCTCCATAAACGACATCTTAAAAACAGCTATTGAGCTATTTAATTCATTGTATGTTTTGAGAAAGCCATGATTTTAAACCTTATACATGTTACCACCATGCCAAAGTTATTGAAGGAAAGGATGTTTCATTGCAATTGATATTTTTTGAAAATCAAGAGTTAAACCCTCGAAAACAGTATTAAGTACATGTAGTTTATATGCCAAATGTGAAGATAGACAAAATAAGTGTGTTTATCAATTTTTGTTGCTTCGTCTCTTTCTTTCAAAGTCGAGTTTATCTTGCATTACCAGGGTGTGCCTAATTTTATTTGTATTGTCTTAAGCTAAATGTGAATATTGATGAATGTACGAAAGGACTTGTTTTGCTATTACCTAAAGAAAAACATACTAGCAAGTTTAAAAGAAGTTGTGTTCTGATTAAATGATTATTTCAACAGTATTATGAAGAGAGTTGTGGAGGAGGATACAAAATCAAAATGTTTTTTTTTTTTACAGTGAACGCATTTATATAAAACTGTTATGATCCAGAGATATGGATTTCAATATTTATCTTTGTGTTTTTAAAAGCGTATTGTTTCAGAATATATATGAGGATATGTTTGTTTAAAACACTGTTTTCCATACTATGTCAAAGGCTACTTATTTTGTGCGAGCCACAAGTTGTTGGCCTATGTAAAGAGAAAAAATAATTAAACAGTGTTTCACTTGAGAACTGAGTTAACGACCTTGCCCTTGTTTTTACACTTGTTCTTTTAGCGTGTGGATGCTTTTTTTTTGTTGTTGCTTTTTTCTTGTTTTTCTTTTTTCTTTCTCTATCCTTCATTTATTTCCAAATTCTCTCTCTCTCTCTGTCATGCGCGCACACACACACTACGCACATTTTATTTCTCTCGCTTTTTCTTTATTTATGTAATTTATTTTTTTCAAATTCACTCCCTCTCCAACTGTTAACATATCTCCTAACTTCAAAGCCTATATTTCTGATATGATTGCATGTAAGCCCCCCCCCCCCTCCTCATCACACACACACACACACACACGCACTCACACTTTTTTGTAATTTTTGGTATTCCTCCAAATGTGTAATACAAACAAAACATACAATTGAATAAGATAAATTAACGTTTTCCATATTAATATTGATGACACACACATACAGTAGTATGAATTGTTAGTGCTTGTTTCTCTCGATGTTATTTCTGAGAATGCTACGCGTCTAGCTGTCACCACGTCCATCTAAACAGTTTTTCGAAAAATCACCGCTTCTATGAAATCGTTTACTTCACCCTTAAGTGCTTGAAGCAAAATCAAATTGAAGATGAACACATATAAAACGCTTTGCCCGTATTTCAAAAGTCAACTACACTTTGAAATGAACCACACACAAAAAAACACCGGAAAAGGCGATTGAATAACTGGCAAATACAGTTGGGAATTTCATGAAAAACATAAAACGATGCATCCGACTTAGATGAAGTTACTTGACGGGCGCTCATGTCCGGCTGAAGAATTGACATTCGCCTTTATACCATCACGCATTGGAGGTGTGGAGGTAGATACTTGCCGGAAGCTCCACTTTGTTGAAGCAAATGAAGTTGCTTTTCTTGTTGTTGCTGCTTCGTTTTGCTTTGTTTTGTAATCCTTCCTCTAATATGTTTATTGCCTAGGGAGGGTTGACCAAAATGAGCAGAAAAGGGTGTTAACAAAATAGCACAGTACTGTTGTTGTGGTGTGTTCGTTCAAACTTTAATTTGACTGAACTTTTTGCTAAGCTGGAAGGATCGTGATGTCTACGTGCAGAGCGGTAATTGCCCGTACCCCGTGTCTTTCCTTCAAGTTGACCAGTTAGCTTTAAGAAAACAGAGATCAACTGGATGCGACAATACAGTGTGTCCCAGAAAAAACGAAACCGAGAATTATCGATGTTTTATCATAACTTAATCACAATTATAATTAATAAATGACACATGTTAGAAAATCTTGGATCCTCTTTCATTTAATGTAACTCATATGATGCATATGTCATGCATGAGTGGTTAAAAACAATTTGAAGAAAGGGTACCAAAACGTCATTTGGCAGACGGTATCTGAATTTCAAAGAGAAAATCACATTTCCAAAAAGTTCATTTTCTGTCCAGGGCTCAGGGACTGTCGTGGCCGTGCGAGCCTGACCACGGGCCCATTCCAAGCCGAGTCCGGTCCTTTATCCGACTTACATAGGATACTTGTATTACTGTACCACAAACGTTTGAACTCATTATTTACAATAGCCATTGTAGCATCGCATTTTTATTTTTTTATTTTCTTAAAGTTAAAAATCGCTTTTTGATCTTCAGTTTTAACCATGATCATAATAAACAATTGATTCCCACAGCAAGTCTAAGATCTTCTTAGCATATTTATGTATGCTGTTTGTACCCGTTTGTATGTTATACGAATAATTATGACTGTCCTGCTGTTTTGGAAAATAAATTAGGAAGTATGAACGATGCACCCTATGCAGCTGTTTAGCAGACGTGAATGAATGATCGTGGACAGGGCTGTTATGAAATGAGTTATGGATGGTAAAGCTATATGGATTGTGAGTGATTGCTAAGCAAGGCAGGTGTTTTAGTATAGGTCAGGTCCGTACCTGATGGCCACACCATATATCAATCTGCTTTCTTCGTTATATGCCCCACTACCACCCCCCCCCCCCCTTCTCCCCTCATCTCTCTCTCTCTCTCTTTCCCTCTCTCTCTCTCTCTCTCTCTCTCTTCCTCACTCTCTCTTTGTTTATCTCTTTTTCTTTCCCTATATTTATTCGCTTATAAACAAACTATGATAGTCCATACCTCGGGTTACAGGTTTTATTAATATTTCCTTTCTTCTTATTTTGTTAACGTTGTATAATCATGTCCGACTATGCCAAGCCCAGTGCCTTTGTGGATTCTCGCATCCTTTTTCCGTTTGCGAGGTATGTGTCAATGTAAACCCTGACGATATGTTAAAAGAAGGAAATAAATGTGATTTGAAATCAGAACTCGCTCTCACTCTTCCTTCCCTCTCTTTCTCCCCTCTCTCTCTCTCTCTCTCTCTCTCTCTCTCTCTCTCTCTTTCCCCCTCTCCCTCCCCCACTCTCTCCCTCTCCCTATAACTCCTACTCTCCCTCCCTTACACTCACCATTTCCCTCTCCCTCTCCCACTCATTTGTTAATGCATGCACAAATCTGGATTTTTATGGGGTATAGAAAATCAATCTGTTATCAAAACTGGAGCATATTTACAAGGCTAATTAAAACATCTGCAAGCTGGAATTTAAATCGTTTTGACCATGACATTGATTGCTCTTGGCATGGTTTTCAAATGAATGCTTCATGGAGTAGCACCCCATTATTGCTTGCGTATAATTCCTATTCTTCAGTAATCGTACACTGCATTTTAACAGAATATGCTTTTGTATGTGATGATGTGATAATGCAAATACAACTACCCCCCCCCCCCCGAAAATGTAGTAATAAATAAATACATAAATTAATATATAAGTTTAAACAAACTTAGAAAGAAAGAAATACATAAATAAATAAATGAACTAATAAATCAGAACATAATAATAAATAAATATCTAAATAAATAAAAGGAAAAGAAAAAAAAAACCTTGTAAAATCTTATTCCTCTTCTCTTGAAGAAATCTATTACCCAATAAACTAGTGACGATTTTTTTTTTTTCGTGGACAAATCAATAGCTTTTATAGAGTTTTTAAAGCTAAAGTAGGAGACTGCACTTTTTAATCCTTTCAGATGATATTCTTAATATCACATTTCATGTTTTGGTATTGCCACTTGAACAATATCCTTTTAATGTGTTTCCATCCCTTACTCGTATCAAAGTAAGATATCCATGAATACACAAGCAACCTCCACAATGAAAAAAGGTCACGTATTCATTGGTTGTGTACATGGATGCGCGCCTATTGGCCTTTCCTGCGAAATAATTTGAGCTACTGTAACCGATACAAGACCCGGGGGCCCGAAATCTACAATACCGCTTCCAAACAGCATCGGAAACGTTTTCCCTATTGCTGCTCACGCTTTGCACACAGACGGTCAAATTGGGTGGAAAGACCCAGTGAATTCCTCACAAATTTGGTTTGGGATATTGCTTCTTTGTGTCAGACACAGTCGAGCAAATAGGAACTTTATTGAAAACTATCCTCGAAGATTCACAGTGTAGTCCGTTTCGCTCTATTTCAGTGTGATTTCCCTCGGCGGTTTAAATCATCCCTATTTGATGTGATGTCTGACAACAAATATTTAGTTGGGAGTCGGTTTACGCGAGTTGTGGTACGAATCGATAGGCATGATAATGGTGATTTTTATTTGCAGAAAAATCAATGCACTTTCCATCTTTCACGTGCATGTCCCATTTTTGTGTTTTCGTCTTTATTTCCGCTGTACTTTGGTGCATCATATTGTGAAATATCTTCCATCCGACCTGGGCCTCATAATAAGAAATGTAGTGAATTTTGACTGAGGTCATGGTGAACCCAAACTAGCAGCATTTAGTTTGTCCCATCCCTATTTTAACCCCTCTCATGCATGAAAACGCTATTATCAATCACATTTATAATTTAACACCAATTATACAGTGATTTTCCAAATCAAGTTAATTTAGAGATCGACCCGACAAAATAATAGAGCTCACTTTCAGCCTTACCTAATTTGCACATGTTTTCTGAAGTGCTTATGTCCAAAAAAGCTCACCTCCAACAAAAATTAATTAATTAATATATTTCGGTACATGGTTAATCCCTTTATCCCATGGGGCAATATAAATTAAAAACACATAGAAAGTAAGAGGAGGGGTGTAACACTTGAGATTTGATAAATAAAAGATATCGGGACATGAATGTACAAATGTAGAGAATGCCAAATAACAAATGTGGTATATACAAAATCATAATTTAGAAGTCACAGTTTAATGATGATAATGATGAAGCCACATGATGATCAAAGAAAATAGTAAGGTGAAATATAGCTAAATGTAGCTTTAATGATGGGGATCAGAAGGCCGTAATTTCTATGTTAACGTACATACTAGTATAAAGTTAACGCACATCTGCACATACCATGAACATTACGTTAACGAAACGATATAAGGGAGTTTACAGATACAATCTGCGCATGGGCAGATAAAGGTCATTTGTACCAAAATGGTAAAACCCACAGAGATGAATACTGGATATGCGCTCATGAAGGTTATGTAACATTATTCATTTATGCACCAACGGTATACATTCTATGATATGCAGGTGGAAGTATTCTTTTCAAGAGGTCAAACAAAAGGTATTCATGAAGCACATCTTGGACTTTGGCATTTATTATTCTAAGATGCTCAAAGTGGAACTTTTCCATGTGTAAAAGATCTGTGGATATTTGGGGGTCATTTGTACAATGTGCTATCTGTTAACTCCCTTATTAGGGTTAATGCGATTATGTTTGAATTCACTATTCACTTTATTGTCGATGAAGTGAAAACAGTTTATGTGATAACATATTTTTGGAATGGGATCAAAACCTCGAGAGCTCTGAAGTTGGAATATTTAAGATATCTTTTTATTTGTCCGGTCTCTTTCGCTGGGCTTTGTCCATGACTAGAAATGTATTCAACCTTAGGAAGGTTCATATGACTACGAGGGTAGGGGGTGGGGGGCGTGGTCGCAATCAGGCCCTGGGATTTCT